CAAGCCCAGCTGCCATGGTAATGCATATTTCGAGGAACTATGAAATCATAACTTGCTTATGAAACGATTAGTTATGATGTCAACTAATTTGGGGAAATAGTTTTAGTCACACGAAGCGATATAATTTTGTAAAAGAACTAAACACTCTTCATTTGATTCTCAATTTGTATTTTAATCGTATTTCAATACTGTTATTAATGACTGACTTTTTTAAATGGTTATTGTGAACGAAATGTCGGTTTGAAATTTTATAATAATCTGTTAAGTTTATAATCTTCTGGATTACTTTTAAAATTCTTTTTAGTTACTCTTGACAATTGAAATCATTCCAGAAAAATACAATAAAAAAATTAAATGTAAATAAAATATGAAAAAATTCCCAAGTATTTCAGAAAGCGATTAAAGTTCAAAATTCAAAGAAGTATTCTTTTGATTTGCTCCTAGCTAATCCCAAAGAAATTCAGAGTCTGCGGACCTTTTCACCTGGGCAATTTCGCGGTGCTGGCACACTTTCCTAAGCATTTAACGTTGAGCGATGGGATCCTGGGCCTACTTACAAAGCGGAAGCTGAATGGGCGGGGAATGCCAGCCACCCACAGACAAAGGACACACACAGTTGTACTCCGGGGCAGGAAAAATCATCCCCTTCGATGGGGAAACTCGCGCTCGCTCTCCTCAATCGCCATCTCTGTCTGTCCCGCTTGGGGGTTCGCTTCCTCGCTCATAAAGCGTTGGAAATTATGGAAATTAATTGAAATTCCAAGGATGCCGTTTGCTCTTTTGCCGAAACCAACAAATTACCATCATTATGCGAGTGCTCGTGCTCCCTTTCTCCTCCTTTCTTCGGTTTAACTTGGCCAAATTCAAACGTTGCCTAATTTTAGGCGCTGCGGCTGACCAAACTTGTGTGGGTGTGTGTGTGTGTATGTATGTGATTGAGCTGCATTTGCATTGGTATTTAATTAAGCTAATTAATTATCACAGTCATTATGTGTATGTACATTGTACACAACAAAAAAACATACGCTTTTGATTGACTGCCGGCGCACTTTACTTTCCCATTTCCCGTGGCTTAAACATATTTCCGCCGCCCACAGACATTGCCCACCCCCTGAAAACCCACCCCCTGCCAGAGGCAACAACAAGAAAAAAGTCATATTAAAAATCATTCGCTTGTGAAGATCAAAAGCATTCTTTTTCACCGAAATGCCATGAAGAATGATGTTGCGTGGGCGGGGAGGGGAGGAGGAGGGGATTGCCTGTAAGTGAGCGGCTCTCTCACTGCGATGTTGTTGCTGCTCTGCCTCTGCTGCTCTCAAGTATTCAACCAAAAATGCATGGCACACACACACACACACTCGCATGCACCTACATGGAGTCTGCCTACCTATACAAAGGGTGGAGAAAGGAGAGTGGGGAAGAGGATGAGTACACTGTGAACAAATTAGACACATTTTCTAAAGCTTTTTAATAATCGCTCTTAGATTTATCATTGTAAATTAATTTTTTAATCAATTTTAAATTATAAACGAACTTTTTGTTGCCTAATTTAACTGTTTATACAGCTACTAAAATACATTAACAAAAATAAGGAAGAAGGGGATCTTTTTCCAAAAAAGGATTGTATAATTTTTAGACCTAATTTTAAATTAGCTTTATTTTTCAGTGCGGTAGTGTGTGAACACGTTGTTATCTTACATGTACTTGTGTGCGTAAGCTCGTTTATTTATTTATGGTTTTTTCGCATTCAACCACCAACAACAAGAAGCGAAATTCCATCCATACACATACATACATACGTATAAATATTGCTCAGCCCTGTGCACATTTATTAAATATTATTGCTCTTATTTTGCGCTCTACTTGACTTTTTTTATTGCCCATCAATGGCAAGTGGGCGGATAACTGTTCTGCTTCCCTCCCCCTTTCTTTCCTCCCCTCGCACTTTTTCTTCATCTTTATGATGCTGGTATGTATGTATGTCTGCTGGTTTTCTGGTTGTTGTTATTATTGCCTTTGTGGTTGTTGCTGCCCTTGTAACGTTTATTAATTTTAATGGCTGCCACCAAATGAATAACGGTTAATCAATAAGTGAAATGCCACCATTTTGTTGAAATCTCAGCAAGGATGTAATGGAAGAAAATTCTCTACAAATGTGTATATTGAACGTTTATGTTTTTGATGAGAAAAAAACTTTTAAATTTATTATTACCGTTAAAAAAAATTTTTTTACATTTAATTTCTTGATTTTGTGATTTAATTGACTTTTATTTTGATTTAGATTAACAATAATGTTGAATACAGAATTTAAAAATAGTGTCAGCTTTTTCCATTACCTATTTAGTTGAAAACAAGAATAATTTCTAGTAATTACTTACATAAAAATGCATTTGTTTTTTTTTCCTCTTTTCAAAAGCGGTAAAACCTGAAAATCCGATCTCAAAGCAAACATTCTGTTTGGAATCAATATTTACGAAAGCAGGTCTAAGGACCCAAGGACATAAATCAGTTGACAATTATTAGCAACCCCCCTCCAGCTTAATTAGATGCGCCCATGAAGCATCTGCACCTGCACCCGAAGCCGAACAATCGCATTTTCCACAGTTCCCATGGACTGCACGCCGTAATCGCATTTCGGCATTGTCGCAACTTGCGGCACAAATAAACCACCCCGCCGCTTAGCGACTCCGGATTCGAGTCCGGATTCCCCGGCTAAAACCATCATCAAGTGGCGCAAATTACAGATCAAACAGGCAGTCAGTCAGTCGAGGGGTGAAGTTGGTGGAAGGAAGGACGAAAGGACCTCGTTGTTTTGGGTGACCATTTGTCAAGAAGGATGACAACATTACGCTGAAAATTAAATAGCGTAATAAAAGGGTGACTTAATTTGTTTTTTGCCCAAACGGCGGACGCAGCCACTTGCCGCACGATGAGATGAGCTGTGAACACGTGTTTGCCTTTCAATAAAATATATTTCCTATATATTTTATAGGCCGCCCAGCCAGGATATTGAAATTGTTGGCATTGTCAACCCCGCGTCTGCGACAGTTAAAACGACAATTACGTGTATCTAATAAAGGATAACGGAGGTACGGTCTCAAAAACCAGAGAGCGGAAACCGGAATCCGGACGGGGAGCTTAGATTTAAGTAGCTGATAATGCCGAAGTTGACGCATGACGGGCAATTCCCCGGTATTTTAATAACAATTTGAACAATAAAAGTCAGCTTTTAATCGCTGACAACAAAGCTTATCTTCATCTTTAGATAAAGGGGTGTATTAAAGAACATTATTGTTTTTGTAATTATATATTTTTATGTCAGTATAAACTTTATTAGTAGGTAACAAAATTAATCCTTTCCCGTAGTTTTTTTTAACATCCACTTATTGTATTTTTACAGCCGTTTTTTGTTCCTTTCTTAAATTTAAAGAAGGTTTAATTCTTGTAAGGGTCTTAAATAAAAATAGAAATACAAAAAATTAACAATTATAACATTTTGTTTTCAATTACCTGTTATGTACTTTAATCTTAACAATTTACTGACATTAAAGGAAGAAGAAAATACTTTCTATGCCCCAAACATTTCTTAACTTCTAAAAGGTTATAAATCTTAAGATAGCTCTATTAATTCTGTCAAAATAATGCTATATCTCAGCAGACCCACTGGAATCCACCATTCGCGAGGCTCCCCACAAATCAGCGCTGAATAGCTTGCTCTAAAATTTCGCCCAAGATGTTTCGAGGCACACTAATAAGTTAATCAAACTAATTGCAGCGAGGGAGGGCTCTTGCCGTAGTCGGGATGAAGAGGGGGAAAATATCTTCGTTGCCAGTTGGCAGCTATAAATTCCGCACATGCCCCGACCCCACCGCAACCCCTTCGACCGAGCGAAAAGCACCCCATTCGAAAGCCCTAAGTATGCTGTAAGCCACGAAAAGGGTTGTTGCTTCTGGTGGCTCGTTGTCTGCTTTGGAATTCCGGAGAAGCTGCTGCTTCTGCTGTGACACGAACATGTTAATTGCCCCCGACCGACGTTGCCAGGTTCAGGATTCGTATCCCTTTCCAAAGTCCCAACTTGTATCCACAAAGTTCTTAAAAATTGACGCACTCTCTGTTTCCTTTGCTTTTTAATTAAAAGTCCAGCGGCAAGTTGCGGGAAGGGATTGGGAAACGTTATGGTTATGACCATTGACCATTGGTCAGTTGAGCTTTGTTAAGCTGTCTAAATTGGCTAAAGAGCTTGGACTCTTTTGGCATTGCTGGTCACTTGGCAACAATCACGGCACAGGCAGCTGGATTGGTGGGATGGGTAAAAAATGACTTTGTTACATGTGAGGCGACTTTATTCATTAGTCAACTTTCCACGATCCATGTGGTTAAGGGAGACGAAAACTTAAGGGGATAAGCGATGAACAAAAAAGGTACAAATAAAGAATAGCATGTTTCTGTAAAGCATAATTACACGGATTTGTGACTTCTGTTTACTTGCATAATGTGGTTTTGATATCAAGTATTTTTAGAACAAAATGTGCTTACATTTTTTATTGTAAAATAAACAAAAAGGTTGTGTCAAACTGATTAAATTTCATAATTTCTTTCATTCGTTTTGTTCTTATAAAATAGTAAAATCATTTTAACTAAATAGTTTCTTCGCGGTTAAAATAAATTAAAATATTTTTAAGTTCAAAAATGTTCTATTCAAAGCATTCAAATTAATACCAAATTTTGATATTTAAGAAATCAAGCATAAATGAAAAAATGATTTTAACTATTTTTATATTTTTGATTTTTTTCCTTAAAAGAGTGTAGATTGAAACCTAGTTGGAAATATGTTATTTTTAAAAATTAATATATAAGTTCATTTTTTAGAAACCTTTATTAGTAGGTTACATAATAATTCTTTATCGAAGAAAATAGTTTTTGGCTCTTATCTTATATTGTATCTTATATCGTTATGAATTCTGCTTAACATGTTACTTATAATACTATTCTCTCTTAACTAACAAATATTTTACTGACTCCTTATAATTCCCCTACCATAATAGGCAGTCATAGCCACCATCCTTGTGTCCAGATAATTGTGCTCCACCTCGCACTGCTGTCCCGCTCCACTCAGCGCGATCACCTGTTTCATGTCCGAGTTGCGTGGCAAGAAGAAGGCAACGTCGGCCGCCAGTCGGCGAGAAATCTGCATCAGATGACTGGCGCCCACGGGCAGCAGACTTTTCTCTATATCGAAGAGGGCCTGCTTTTGGTAGTCCGGACCTCCCCAAGGAGGACTTAGGAACACTACATTCGGGCGAATCCTGGTGCTCGCCGCAAACTGCAGGAAATCGGCATGAACAAACTCGATTTTGTGGGCCACTCCATAAATGCCGGCATTGTGCTTCGCCATGGCTAACTTCTCGGCATCGATGTCCACCGCAATTACGCGTCCGCAGGTGTTGGCGAACTGAATGGCATTGCCGCCGCAGCCACAAAAGGCATCCACGATCAAGTCGCAGGCCAATCGACGGGCCGTCTGCTTGGCAATCTTCTCGGGCGTCACCGAGAACCAGCTCTCGCGGTCCAGCCGGATGCCCTGGTCGAAGCGGGAGAACAGGGAGAAGCGCTTGAACCAGTACTTGACCATTTTACTATTCTCCTCCTGCATGAAATCGGGCATCCTGGCCTTGAGTTTGTTGGCCTGCCTTTGCCGGCGTTTGTTCTTTTTGATGCCACCACTTTGAACGCCATGGAGAGCGCGGTTTTCATCGTTTTCCATGTTGAACAGTTCGTCACTATCCTCGCTATCGCTGCTAGAAGATTCCACTTGAGGCTTTCTTTGCTTTCGGTTCTTTTGAATTGCTTTAGAGGCAAAGCAAGTGGGTAAACCCAAAAGCAGCAGCTGCTGTTCCTCGTCTATATCTTCGGGATCGTCGTTGGCCGTCAAATAGGAGTCCTCCTGCTCGCTTTCTGTTGTTTTTCGTGGTTTGATCTTTCTTGGCTTAGTGTCAAGGCTCAAGTTCTCTAAATCCTGTTCCAAGAGACCAAATGATTTGGCCAAATCGTGTTGGTAATTCTCAAAGGCACAGCTAAAGATGTGCCAGAACTTGGCGCTCGAATCGCTGGCGTGTTTCTCCCACAGTTCCTGCCAAAGTTCTTGCTCCTCCGGCGTGACCACCTCTATTAGTTGCTTGTACTCGGGAAACCGCTTGTGCCACTTCTGCTCCAGCAGTTCGTGCCCCTCACGCTGCCAGAATTCCTCCCAGGCGACGTTTTGAATCGCCTCCCAGTTGCACAGCTCGCTAGTCCAATTGAGGTCCTGGCCAAGGAGCTGGCTGAATATGTAGAACTGCGGATTGGTGCGCGAACTGGTCAGGTAGTGTGTGTTCATCTCACGGTCAGCCCCCGGATCTCCAGCCTGCGGCAAAGCAGATCTTCGGGTCGGTCGATGGACTGGATAAACCACAAGTCGATGGCCGGTTTGTGGGTGAGCCGCAGCCAGCTGAGGAACTCCTTTTGGGCGGCAGGATCGTGGGACAGACTGGAGACCTTTTCGTGGACTCCGCGGGCGGTCAGTGTGCGACTGTTGGCATGCACAACATTGCAGAGGACCACTTCGCCGCGCACAATGCAATAGGAACCGATGGACACGCTCTGCTCGACGGCCTTCTCGCGGGTGAGTCCCAAAAGGAGCAGGGATATGGTGCCCTCGGGCAGGGATAGGTTCCTGGATGAGGAAGATTACTGGTTAGGATCTAGAGGAATCCATAGATTAGCTTTACTCACTCTGGCAGGCTCTTAACGCGCACGTTTTCCAAGCGATAGAATTTCGACTCGAGCACCAGTCGTCCAATTACTGCGCACTGGCCGTAGTGCAGCTTCTGAAGGTCCGTCTCCAGCTCGAGCTCCTCCACCAGCAGGGTCTTGAAGAAGTGACAGTACTCGGGTGGTACTACCGCCTCCTGGTTCATCACTTTCTTGGATAAAGCCGAGGAATTTCGTGTAAAATTAAAACACCCGGACCAAAACAAAACCTAGGGTGACCATCTTGATTTATCGCTGCGGCTAACCTATCGATATATTTTTAGCTAGCTATCGGTTTGTTTTGTCCATCTCTAAAAACAGCGGCATTTTTTTGGAAAAGTGCTTAAAAACTGCAATTTCTTAATAAAAAGTGGTTTAATATTATTTAGCCATGTCTTTTATGAACCCCGTGGATATGGTGGACGAAGACGCCGCAGACCTGCAGTTTCCCAAAGGTAACCAACGCCCCCCACTAACCGAAACCCAACTTACAAGTGAAACTGGCTGAAGATCTTTGGCTTCGAGTGCCCCGAAAGCGGCGCTCCTCCACATGTTTACCACATTGAATTGCCTCTTTGCAGTGGAGCAGGTTCAGCGATTCGCCTATGCCCGCCAGGATAGGAACACCAGGAGCTGCACGGTTCTTTATAGACCATACACTCTACACAGACAACTGGAGCAGCTGGAGGAACTGGCGCGGGATGAGAGTAGCTCTGTGCCAGTGGCTTCTAACGACTCCAGTCGCTGTGCCACGTGTCGTTGCAGTCTCGCCGAGCCCTACATCAAGTGCGCCGAGTGCCTGGACATTGTGCTCTGCCTGCAGTGCTTCGCCCGCGGCAGGGAGGTCTCCTCGCACCGCAACAGTCATGCCTACATCATAGTTCGCGACAGCATCCAGGTTTTCGCCGAGGAACCTCATTGGACGGCCCGCGAGGAGCGCATTCTGCTGAAGACCCTGCGCACCCAGGGCTACGGGAACTGGGAGGCGGTGTCCCAGGCTCTGGAGCAGCGGCATGATCCCGCGGAGGTGCGACGCCACTACCACGATTGCTACTTTGGGGGGATATTCGAGCGGCTACTCAAGCTGCAGCATGCCAGGCACAGCTACCTGCCCGAGCGAATGCCGTATGTGTTTAAGATGCGCAGTTTGGATCCACCGCGACACGATGACATCGCCTCCATGCAGTTCAAGCTAAGTGCCGGCTATCGCTGTGCAAGGGGCGACTTTGATACGCCCTACGACACCTCCGCGGAGAGTCTGCTGTCCATAATGGTGGATCATAGGGATCACAGGGGCCGGGATGAGGATCAGGAGGCGGCGCAGAGCGAGGCGGAGCGCGGGGTAACCGAGGAACTGCAGCTGGGACTGGTGCGGGCATACAACAATCGATTGAGGTAAGAAGCCTTATCAAATTGAGCCCTGTTTTATGATAGTATGCCATAAAATTTCTGATTTGTAAAATTCAATTCTATGTGACATAAATTGAATGTTTTTCTAATTCATTTCGAATTGAATGAATGAATGAATAATTTTTATGAATTTTTTGAGTTTGCCAGATTTTTTTGTGCTTTCTTTTGAGAACAAAAAGTGGAAAATTTTTAACAAATCAATGCTAACTGCTTAGTAAATAAAATTCAGGCAGATTTAAAGAAATTGTCCTTTGAATTATTTCGAAATTCATGCCATTCATTCATTCAATTCTATTAAAGTCAAAATTCAAATTCATTCAATTCTATTAAACTCAAAATTCTAATTAATTCATTCATACAAAACAAAAAATTCAAAATAATTCATTGAATCCATTCATGCAGAGCTCTTTTATCAATTAACAAGTATTCAACTGATCAATTATTATTATTGACAGAGAGCGTCAACGCCGCTACAAGATCATGCGGCAGCACGGACTGATAATGCCCAATCGCACTGTCAGCTGGATTTCCAAGTATGTGAACGCCTTCGCCACCGATGCTAGTTGCATGCGCTTCCTGGGCTTCATGCAGATCTGCCCAGATCCCATTCAGTTCGACATGCTGCTGGAGTCGCTGCGATATAACAGGGAGCTGCACACCTGGCTGCATAAGCTCTACGATCTGCGACAGAACGGTGTGCGCACTCTTTCGGGAGCGAAGCTGTATGCCCGCCTCTACAAGGAGCGTCAGCAGGCGCAGCGGGATTACGGCAGGCATAAAATGGATTCCTTTGACTGGCAGCATTTAGTGCAGCACTACGAGAGCAACCGAAATGGAGAGCATCTGCCAATGGGCCTCAGTTCGAAGTTCTTTGGCATGAACACTCGCCGCAAGGCAAGTCCCATTGAGATTGGAGGTAGGAAACGCACTCATCCTTGTTTAAAACCGAAGTAAAATAGTTATTTCGTATTTCCAGATCTGCCTGGCTACTCCAAACTGGACGAAGGCGAGCGCAAGCTGTGCAGTGTAGCCCGTCTGGTTCCGCAATCTTATTTGGACTATAAAAACCAACTCGTTTCGGAGCACACCAAACTCGGTTATCTGCGACTGGCGGATGCGCGTCGGCTCATCAAAATAGATGTGAACAAAACGCGCCAGATCTACGATTTTCTGCTGGAACACGGCCATATTAGCAGGCCACCCTCCTACAGCTAACACTTAATTCTTCTCCATGTTTCACTTGTAAATTGCTTGAAATTCATTGCCTGCCAACTGCTAACGATTCCCGTTCGCCTGGTATCCCTTTCAGAGTTCGAAAATGCCGAGACGCTGCTGATATCGGAGGTGCACATGCTGCTCGATCATCGCAAGCGACAAAACGAATCCGCCGACGAGGAGCAGGAGTTCTCGGAGGTCTTTATGAAGACGTACGCCTATACGGATAGTTTTCGGAAGTTTAAGAACAAGGAGACTATCATGTCTGTGCGAAGGTACTTACTGTAATAAATTAATTATCGTTCATATAGTAATACTTATTTTTTGGAAATTTTTATTTAATAGCTTGCTGATGCAGAAGAAGCTGCACAAATTCGAGCTGGCTGCCCTGGGTAATCTGTGCCCGGAGGCGCCCGAGGAAGCCAAGGCGCTGATTCCCTCGCTGGAGGGTCGTTTCGAGGACGAGGAGCTGCGCCAAATACTTGACGATATCGGCACTAAACGCAGCTTGCAATACTAATCACTACGTATAAATATAAGCATAGGAGTACAATAAAGGTCTGGATAAAAAATAAGATCAAGAAAATGGAGGAATTTTAATTGTAATCTTTTTTCCTAATTTAAAAATTAATTTATGAGAATTTGAATAACCGCCTTAAAAGTATCGCTTATCGATATGACAATGTTGCCGGACAATTCAAGAAGAGGAACAGATAACTTATCGATAACTCGCCAGATCTGGCAACCACCTAAAACAGCCGCGCTTGCAGTTGTTTTCTTTTTGCCGAATAATTTCAAATAACTATAAATTTAAGATGAACAAGGACAACTCCAGCATGCAGATGGACCCCCAATTGGCCCTTCGCCTCCTGGCCGACGGCGGAGTGCTGGTCATTGCCGGCGTGCCCGAGGGCACGGAATTCGGCATAGATCTGTGCGCCTACACAATTGGTCCGGATTTCCGAGGCGTCAAGATGATTCCACCAGGCGTCCACTACGTTTGGTGCGCCTCCCGCGGTCCATACGGCGATGCAGCTCCTCGCGTCGGCTTCGTGCACTTCTTCCATCCCAACGAGATTGTGGTGCGCGAATGGGATCATGAACTGGAGGAACTGCGTCCGCGGCGGATTGCCGAACCGGAGGTGGAACGCGACAGGATCCGCAAGAACCTGGCGCAGTTGGAGCGAATGCTGGCGCCCTACGACTACCGCTACGTGGTCCAGTGGAAGGAGCTCAGCGGCAGCGTGACGGAGGAGTGCGTGGAGCGCTGTCGTCCGACGGAGGGAACCATTCGCACCAACATCGAACTGCAATCCTGCCCGGATGCCGAGCGTCCCAGGGGAGTAGTGGGTGCGAGCAGCATCAGCCGGCGGAATGCGGCCGCCCGGCTTCTGTTGGACGAGAGCGAACTGCTGCCGGACCTAAAACCCGTGGAGGGAACAGCACCACGCTTCAGTAAGGTTCCCCAGCGTGTTCCCCAGGATGCCCCGCCGGCCGACGTCTCCCGTCACGCCATGGACTGCATAGAAGCTGTGGACAAGCTGCTCGACTCCTTCGACACCGCCGACGGACTCATCGAGGAACTGCAGCTGGCCTATGTGTTTTTCCTAGTTGGCTACTCTGTGGAGTCCCTGGCCCACTGGCGCAAGATTCTCGGGCTGCTGGCTCACTCGGAAACGGCGGTGACCCAGCACAAGTTGGCCTACATGAAGTACAGCGAGGTGCTGGCCCATCAGCTGCCTCATTTGCCCGAGGAACTAATGGTTCCCGGTCCACACAATACGGTGTACAAAGATGTACGCGAACTGCTGGTCAATCTGCATGCGGGCGGCTTGAGTGTCAGTGGCGAGCGGCTGGCCAAGCGACTGGAAAGGAAACTGGGATGGGCCTTTGAGGGCCTCCTAGACGAGGATCCCGAGGATCAGCCGGTGGTTATAGAACTTCCAGAGCCCTAGTACCCATGTAAATTGTAATTCATACATATATATATTTCCAATACAATCGACTGAATTTGATCTATTTGATTCTAGCGCAGCGAGTGCTGGGTGCGCAAGTAGTTCCACAGATCCCGGGCCGTGCGAATGCTGACCATGAATTGGCACAACTTGGTCTCGATCAGGCAGAGGATCAAGAACTTGGCTCGCTTGTCCTTCAGCAGGGACTGCAACGAGTAGGCGGCTTGGTCAGGGTTTTGATGTACGCATAGCCACCTCCACTCACCTCCTCGTTATTCTCCGGACCATTCTCCACCACCGTCCAGAGCTCCTCGGACTCCAGATACGCCCGCACCGTCATCGACCAGGCCTTGTAGTTGTCCAAACCTTTGAGCTTCTCGATTTGCAGCTGCAGTGCCATCGCAGAGACTCGAGCTACGTTTTGCAACTGAACCGCAGTTGGGCTTTTGTCTGTTTCTCTACCTTTGCCATCCATCCATCGGTTGCTGTCCAGATTTTCAAATATAGATATCTAAGCATTTGTATATGTATATGGTTATATTGTGCACATCGTCATGCAGAAAAAACAATAGCCACTAGACCCACTTTTCGTGTTGCTTCTGGTGGCCCAACGAAAGTGCTGGCCAAATGACATTGAGCTTAAGTGGACACTTCTGATTTGACGCAGAAGCGTTGTCGTTTTCTTTTCTGCCTGCATTTTGTGCTTATTTAGTTTAGCGTGTATAGTTTTTCAGCACCAGTAGTGCGATTTCTGAGCTACAATCCTTTGGTTAACTTGCTGTGAGCTAATTAATAGCCTGTAGATACCATCAAAAGTGATAAAGAAACTGATTATATTTTTCTTTTGTTAATTTACCATCGGTACACTTTATTCTAAACTGCGTTGGATGAACAGAGATTCGGTTTCTTATATAAAAAACCCTGTAAATTTCGGAATATTGTAGTATCAAGAGTATCGGTCTGAAATATGAAATCAAAAATAGTTTTTTCATTTCTATTGAAAGTAGGGATTGTAAATAATCGTTATTTGAGATTTTTATTTTAAAAACACTACTGTGATATTTTGTTTTAAACGTAAAAAATACTCTTGTCCACAAAGTATATGCATGTCAACAAATCTGAAAAGCAAATTATCTGTTATTTGTCCATGTCTATAAAGTGCATAAAAACCAGTTAAATTGATTATTAAAACTTTAACAAATCTCAGTAACCTTTTAAAATAAAAATCTCAAATAACGATTATTTCCCTGATTGAAAGCTGACCCTCGACAGAATATTCAACCATCTGTTGTCTAGCATTGTCTGGACCGATAAAGCAAAACTTCCGCTCCCTTCTAGATTCTATTTCTGGCTGATTGGCTCTGCCCATTTCATAAGCCCATAAACACACGAGAGCCCGAAACTCAATTAATAATAAATAAATTGTGATGCCCAATTGTTGTTTTTTTTTATGATTTTTATTTGAAATGAATACGAATGTCAGTTTTAGCTGCTGGTTTCTTGTATTGCTGTTGTTGTTGCTGTTCCGTTCAAGAATGTTGCGGTTGTTGTTGCTGTGGCTGATTTATGCTTAATTAACTTTCTGCACGGGCCTTTTCTTTTTAGCGACTGCGAATTATTAGTCTGCCCGCTTTTCTTTCGCGCCTCGTTTATCAAAAAAGGAAAAGAAGAGCTGCGAAAAAGCTCGTGCGAAAATTCTCCTGTAGCTGCTCATCATGTCATTATATTTTCTTTCGCTAATCACGCAAACACGCTACAGATAATGCTGCCGTTGATGTTGTTCTTGTAGGGGATTTCGTTTTAGTCGATTTTTAGCTAAATCAAATGATATTTCTCGTCTGTTGCGGTTTCAGTTTCTGTCCAGGGAATGGGGAGGTTTCTCTTTAAATGCTGAGGGGAAGTTCGGAAGTTGGGATTGGAATTTCGGATTTGCTGGAGGAGGGGGTTAGTTTGGGGGGAAAAAGTTCGAAATCTCTACAAATTACATAAGTGGTAGGCATAGAAAATATACAAGTATATATGTATACAATATATATATGTACCGTTGTTTTTTTTGTTTTTGTATTCTTTTTGTTTCTTGTATTTAGCAACTACAAATACTTTTCTATATTATTAATATGTTTTCTTTGTTGCGCAAGTTAAGATAATGAGAAAAATTGTTGCGATTGCGATGGAGAACACAAGACGAAAAGCGAAAAACAGAAATCAAATAAATTCCCGTTCGATTTTTATTAATTTGACCATGCAAAGTGACCAAAATATGGGCATAAGTGAGTGAGTGAAAGAGAGCAAGGAAACGTTAAGAGAAAACAAACGGTTCGTATGCGTATTGTGGGTGTCTGTGTGGATGGTATGTGTGAGAGTGGGTGTGCGAGTGTCGGTGTTTGAACAGTACACTTACATACATACAAATTTAAGCTTAAGAATTCGTTTTGAATTTCGCTTAACTAACATTCCTTTTTCTCATTTAATATAGTTTTTAGCTTTATTTGCGTCTTTCATTCTGTTTGCTCATTTCGTTTCGTTTACTCCTTTTACGTTTTATTCTTGTATTAAATTTAAATTAATTGCTGTATTTTTTCCTTACATTTTCGACTTTATGTTTTACTTTTACGTTTGCGCTTATTAAATCGTTATTCGTTTTTATTTCCTCGTTCTCACGTTTATTATTGGCTTAAAATTAAAGTTGTATTTTACGTGTTGCTGTTGTTTTTAAAGTTTAAAAATTAATGCATGCCAACTCGATGAAATTTGCTTTGTGATTGAATTTTCGTTAAGTGTCTTGACTTTCGTTCATGTTCATTTCTTGTTTGTTTTTGTGGTTTAAATGAAGTTTATTTGTTTTGTTTTTTGCTTCTCATAATTAAATATAATATTTATTTAAATATAATATAATGCTTGGTTTCTCGAATGCAAAAATTTCAAATGTAGTAGTTGATGTTGCAGTTTTCTAAAGTGGAGGAGCCACATCGCCAGACGACGACAAAAAATAGTGACGCGAATTCTTTATGTTTCGATCTCTTGCCGCAGCAACAGCCATGCCGCCACGCCCACCAGGCCGCCCAATTTTCAAACATTTTGTTTGGTTTTTTTTTCTGTTTTTGTGCTGTTGTTTTCCATGTTGTTTATTGTTGATGAAATATTGTTGCTTGCTGCTGGATTTGCTTGTTGTTGTTTATGCTGATGTTGCTGTTGCTGCTGCTACTTTTATACTCGCTGCTATTGCTGTCGTTCGTTGATTGCGGATGTTGTTGTTGCCGTTTTGGTTCCGTGTTGTTGTTGCTGTCGTGTTGTTGTTTTTGTTGTTGTTGTATGCATATATATTATATGGTATTATATTTACTTTAGAAGGTATATAATGTGTTTTAAATGGAAGGGCGGGGGTTTACTTAAATTACGACACATCCTGATCCTCAACATCCTGGATTTCTGCTTTGGGCTCGCCATCACCTGCGTTGGGGTCTACTTCTTAGTATAATATTTAGAACTTAATAACGGAGCTGAACAAATGGATGTGATTACAACTTACCTTCTGCCTGCATATCGGACGTCCATAATGTGAGGTTGTCCCGCAGCAGCTGCATGATGAGTGTCGAGTCTTTGTAGCTCTCTTCACTCAGCGTATCCAGCTCGGCAATGGCATCATCGAAAGCGGCTTTCGCCAATCGGCAAGCGCGGTCCGGCGAGTTGAGTATCTCATAGTAGAACACCTATTAGAATACAAAATATCAAGATGTAAGTACAATTATGTGGGAGGAGGTAGAGCGGCTTAAATCTCACCGAGAAGTTCAATGCCAAGCCCAAGCGGATGGGGTGTGTTGGGGGCAGATCGTTCATGGCAATGTCGCTGGCCGCCTTGTAGGCAATCAGCGAGTTCTCCGCCGCATCCTTGCGATCCGAACCGGTGGCGAATTCGGCCAGGTAGCGATGGTAGTCGCCCTTCATCTTATAGTAGAATACTTTGCTTTCGCCGGATGTGGCGCATGGAATGAGATGCTTCTCGAGCACGTTCAGTATATCCGAGCAGATGTCGCGCAGCTCCTTCTCAACCTGTCCCCGGTAGGTTTTGATCATCTCCAGTTTCTCCTCGGCGCCCTTGTTCTCCTCCTTCTGTTCGATCGAGGTGATGATGCGCCACGAGGCCCGCCGTGCTCCGATCACATTCTTGTACGCCACCGACAGCAGGTTTCGCTCCTCGACAGTCAGCTCGACGTCCATGGAGGCGACCTTCTTCATGGCCTCAACCATTTCTGTAAGGAAAAAAAGGGGTTTGAAAATGGGTCTTTAGTACACCAGTTGAACTATGCAGCCCCAATTTTCCCATTCATTTATGGACAATCCTTAAATTATGAAAATATTTTAATTGCTATTTAATTTGCTTATCATTTAAGACATTATTTTTCATAATTTCTCTTGGCATTGTCAGACATTCTCTGAAAATTTAAGACTCCTCATAAGCGAGTTAAATAAAAAAAAACAATTCGCATTTTGCTTTTATTAGTAATTCAACAAAGCTATCACACCCTATTTGACCAAGTTTCCCCAGAATGTAAACATTTTAATGATTCATCATATAAATTTACATATTAAATTCATATTACTAAGAATTTGTATATTGTTTTATTTTTTATGTTATATTTACTAGAATTTTCTACCAGAATAATTAAGAAACAAAAGTCTAAAGTTAGATAACTTTACCTAAATTTAGTACATTCTAAAAAAAACTTTCCGAAAATCAATAGATAAGTTTATCCAAGGTCTGAAAAGGCATGATATCTGACATTTCCCTTTGTCCTTGCACGTCTAGTCTACCTTTTTCTATTATCAGCGACACGCCCAATCTATAATGATATATAAGTCATGCACATATATTTATGCATAACTCCGTGTTGCGTCTACGCCCGATTTAACCGATTCTGTCATACCACTACAGGCCCATGCAATCAGCCGGTGATAACGGTTTCCGCCACATTGTTGCACCCCTCTATCGGGCCCGTAGGGCATCTCTATCTTCTGTTCGCATCACCATCCCAAAACTGCGTCATGAATCACATGCTCGGGGATCCACACAGAAGAAAAATGGAGATATATATCATAACAGAAAACATTTACATTTTTTATTTCCTTCTGATATGTGAATAATGTTATATCAAAATATATTCCTCAATGGTTTGCTAACCAAAAAGACATAGTTCAGAACCCACAGACATAACATGATATATTCTTTGAGCATATTAGAGAGATATGTTTAAAAATATCGATTTAAATTTGTTGGTATATCATCAAAATTAAACATTTTTCTTTCTGTGCTGTCTGGCAAAAAGCAGATGCAGGTTTGTTAACTAGCTCGGGCATATTTGGTTGATAACAATATAAAGCAGTGCTTGGAAAAAAATATTGTAATTGTAGCGCTTTTAGCTTTTTGTTTCCTTTGCTGACTTGCACTTGCTGCCCTCTCGCTCCCACCCGATGTCCCAGTCAGCTGCTGACGTAGTTCGCACTCAGACACCCGCACAATTCCCCCCCACACACACAGCGGCACATTTGCCGACTGTCTGCTTGTTGTTGTTGCACGTATTTGTGAAAAATTGCCAATAAAGTAGAATGATTCACGAATTTTTGTGGTTCTGTGTGAACTTCAAAAAATTGTTGTTTGCATTGGCAGATTGTTTGGAATTGCAATTGCACACGCATTTTGCAACACTGATGGCAAGGCTGTGTCACGCATAAAAAAAAACAACAAGAGGAGGCAGGTGGTGGAAGTTGGCGGGGCTGGGATCCTCCCAGCTTATAAATTGTACAGCACATGTTGCTTAGTAGTAATCCACTACCAATTATGAGACATGCGCGTCAGCCAGTCACTAAATATTATACATATAGAAAGGCGAAAATCAATAAATGAGTCCCAAAAATAAAGACCATGTCCCGCGGGCATGATAAGTCATAAGCTGAGTCAAAAATTGTAGATTTTGATAACTTCTCGAAACATCTATGATTTCAGAATATGTGCAAAAATCTTAGTATGAAATTTACTACAATTAAGACATTTAAACCAAAAAACGACGTTGATGCTAGATACACATTAGGTCCAATTTCTTTTATTGTCAGCCCAATTTATTTATTTCGTATCCTAACTTTCAAGTTTAAATAAATTGTAGAGAAAATCATTGAAACTTGTTAATAAAATTCAATTTTTAAGAATATTCATGGAAATTTGAATATAATAAATATGCGACAACCCTGTTAGGCGCCCAAAAGGCGACCCACCACCACCCACTGACGCACAAACAAAAAGCCCCAAAAAAAAGTCACGCGAGCTGGAATAAAAGATTAAGACGAAAGAGGGACCAAAAAGGAAATGGCAGGAGTATACTCCCACCCCCCCCTTTCCGCCCAACTCTCTGCGATCCACCCCCTCCCCTACTAGGCACCCGTGGGTGTGTCTTGCGCTTGTGTGTGTGACATAAGGGCGCAGCAGCTGAAAAAACATGCGCACATACCGTTACAGCGAGTAGAATGTGTAATTAGACAAAGGAAATACAAACAACAGAGGCAGAGGACCGCCTAAATGGTGCAATTTGAACATAAATCGAGCAACAAACAACACACACCTAGCCCACCACCCGCTCCTCCCCCTTCTCCACCGACCATCAATCAACTTTATGTATGCTTTTTGTTTTTTCGCATATTGACGACATTGACGAGAACGAACATCAACGGAAAAAGCAGCGCGCGACCTCGAAAAAAATGTAGATAGAACGCAGAGAGCGGGAGAAAGAGAGCGCCCGGAGAGGGGGCAGCACCTGAGAAAGCAAACTTAAAGGCTGACGTTAATGTGTGTAGAAAAGGGGGAGGGCAGGCGACAGGGGCTGAAGAAAAAAGGGGCGGAGGGCGAGGCAAGTTCAGATTGGGGGCGCAGACATTGCCGGCTGGCGACTGTGCTTTGCTCTGCTCTCTTTGTGCGCGCTGGTATTGGTGCTCCAGCATGAGCCCCACCGCAAACTGTCCAAGTGCGACAAGGCCAACGCCAAGTGCTCCACACACCAATATACTCGCACAACGGAGAGTCACACGCAGGCGAAAATAAGAAGACAAACATGTGATACAGACACAAATATCCCAGTGTATGCCTGTGTGTGCTAATAGTTGATTGACTCCTTTGCCGCCGCCGCCCGTAAATGTTGTCAGCTTTGCAGGCAATTAGTAGCAGAGTACTGTTGCAATTATTGTTGCTGTACATTAGCAGCAGCAGCAGCAGCTGCAACAGCAACAAAAAGAGGGAAATAACAAATGTTTGTTAACTTTTTACAGCCACTGTGAGTTAGCAAGCGTCGCCGACACACAGACACACTAGTTATCTCGTTTCAACGCACGCAGCGCCTATGGCAATTGGTTAAGCGCGCGCTTTTTGCAAATGCCGAATTTTCTGTCCCCCTCCCGCAGCGTCTATCTTTGCATTTTGAGCTGCCTTTTAATTAATTGGAGTATTTTTAATTAAATATAGTCAAAAGCTACAGCAACAATAAAAACCGCCCGGCGAACACTCATCTGGACACGCATACTCTCACACTCACACATACATATAGACATTCATACATGCGCAAAGCATGAGTAATTCGAGAGCAACAGAAAGAAAAAAAGATTATATTTTTTGCACTATCAGACAGGGTTGCCGAGTGGCTGGAGAAGAAGAACCGCTTGCAACTAGCCGCAACTAATTTGCATAAATAAAGAATTAAGCAATAGCTGCAAGACAAGGAGAGAGAGCCGTGGGGAGGGTAGAGGAAAGAGCGAGAAGGCGGCCGGCGACAACTCTGCGACACAATCGATTCATTCATCGATTTTTCGCAGCAACGGCATGATGATGACGACGCCGCTGCTGCGCATGAAAAGCACATTTCGTGAAAAAGAGGGGGGCTGAAAGAGAGGGGCTCGAGCCACCTACCCCCGCTACCGCATCGATTTTGGGTGTGGAATAAATATAAATATATTTAATAACCGAAAAAAAAACTGTGTCGCTTCTAGAAAGTTACGCCTTGACAACTGCTACTAAAGAAAAAAGATCTGGAAACAACTACAAACAGCCCTTAGCAACCAAAGAGGAAAAGGAAATGTTGGTCGCCGCGCAGCCCTCGCTCGCAACGCTAAATACACAAAATTTCCCCCCTCTAAACCACTAATACTATTTCCAAAAAAAAAAAAGACCCAACTATTTGCTGTAAATTATAATACGCAATTCCGTTTCTTTCTCTTTTTGCGAAAACCACGCGAATTTTTGCCGGTAAAAATCAGGTTTTCATCTCTTTTTTCGCCTCTTCGTTCTTCCGACGCTCTGCTTCTTCTTCCTCCTCTTCGAGTTCCTCCTCCTCCCGTCTTTCGTTTTCGCAAGAAATACTACTCATCGCGACGCTGCGTCGCTTCGGCTGCACCTACACCAGTGAAAATTGAAAATTTCCATCATTTTCCCTCGTCCAGAAGCTTTGCCTCACTTTTCAATTGGCAAATTCGGAGAAAAAGCGGTGCTAGGGGCTTTTCAGCAACCACGCGACGACGCAACGGATCAACGAAAAAAATCTCGGACGACCCCTCCCCAAAACGTTGGCGCTCCTCTGTCGAGAAAATTTTCCCCGTACTCTACTCGTTTTTTCTACCATTTTTTTTTCGGTTTTTTCTTGTCAATTCTGGGACTCTACTCACCGTCGTAGCGCTCGGCCTGTTCGGCCAGCTTTGCCTTGTACACATTGTTCTCGCGCTCAGTCATTGTGTTGAAGCCTTTTCGGTTAAATTAATCCACAGAAAAAATTATTTAAATGCTCCCGGTACGTGCGGCGTCGATTTTGCTTGCTGCTTGCTGCTTTTGATTCGTCGCCTTCTTTTTTCTCTACTTCTCGAGCGGTGTGACCGTGTCGGGCGGCGGGTAAAACACTAGAATCGAGGGGCGATGGCCCGAAGAGGGCCTAAAAAAGGCATGCAGCGAGTGGTGCGCAGGCGCGGGCGAGGGTTGTGAACTTGGGAGGGTGACACTATGACAGTCTATCAGACCAGAATTGACTGTTTTAATATGTACAGGTTCTTAATTTCCTAAGTTAATAAGGCTCCCCTACAAAAGCTACAACTCATTTACTTAAAATCTGATTAGCCACCGAATTGACACTCTTAGCGCCGACTCACTACTTGGTTGTGAACTTTGAGTGGCATTTAGCTTTGGCACAAACCTTTGTGTCGTTGAACATAAACTTTATCGATAACGATATTAATTTGAATTTTCAATTTAAAAATATGACCGTTTTACTTAGTTTTTAATTATTAGTATATTAATAATTTACAAACTTTTTAACTTATATATAAGAGGTGTAAACTACAGACATTAAATAAATTATTAAATCGTTCTAGTAATTCCGCCACTTGGAAAAAGTTTTCCTCGAATATTTTGGCCACACTGCATTGATGGGAAAAAACGAATTTTATATATTAGCAAATATGTTTGTCCGTTAATGAGCGGGGAAGTAAGCCGTAGCCATAATGAGTCTCAACCTGGGAGGATGGATCCACAGCTTCACCGTGACGGACACGCAGGAGCACAAGGGCGGCTACACCATCTACAAAATCACCTCGATTGTAAGTTTTTGGTTTTTGGGGGGCAGAGAAACTGTGCCATATTCATGCTCTCCCACTTTTAGGTCTTCCCCAGGTCGGTGCCCCAGGCTCTGACCTGCCTGGTGGTGTGGAAGCGGTTCCACGACGTCAAGCGGCTGCATCGCGAGCTGAGCCGGCGCCACAAGAGTCTCCAGCTGCCCGGCAAGTTGCCCGTGCCCACGGATAGCTCTTACTTCAAGCGATTCGATGCGGCGGTCATCCAGCGGCGAAAGGAGTACATCCTGCAGCTCCTGGACTTTGCGGCCCAGCATCCGGCGCTGTACAAGTGCGCCACCTTCACGCAGTTCTTCCAGGAGACGCCCTCGCCCAGTGGTTCACCGCTGAAGAAGCTGTACGTGGAGCGATCCCTGCGGCTGCAAACGGCGGAGAGCGGCTGCAGTGGCAATGGAGGATCAGGGACGGCAGCTGGAGCCATAGCCGACATTTGCGATAAACTCGATTTGCCCTATGACCACCACGATGCGGGGGGCATTACGCCGCTAGATCCGCGATGCGATAAGGAGCAAACGAGCAACGATGAATCTAATACCGAAAAGGAAACAAGCACGGATGATACCAAGCCGGATGAAGCCCCCTCCAAGCGAGATTATCTGCGCCTTCTCACGCCCATGGCCTCCATAGAAAGCGACGACAGCGACTACATCTATGAGGCCGCCCTGGAGTTTAGCCATGCCGTCCAGGCGGAGGTCAATCTCGAGTACGCCGAAGCCCATGAGCGTTATAAGCATGGCGTGGACCTGCTGCTCCAGGGAGCCAAGCAGGATGCCAACGAAGAGCGCCGGTTTATAGCCAAGGCCAAGATAGCCAAGTATTTAGCGCGAGCAGAGGAGATACATGCCAACTTTCTGGCCGACAATTGCGCCACGAAGAAGCTGCAGTTCCAGCTCTCGCTGGACATGACGGACGGCGACAGTGTGACGCAGTTGGAGTGCCCCTGGAACCAGTTGGCCCGCTACAAGGTGCTGCAGGTGCTCCAAGAGCGGGTGATGCAGGTGCAGTGCGTGACGAAATCCCAGCAGCCGGCGGCTATTATGAAGGGCATTGAAAAGCCTGCAAGTCATTCGCTCACCCAGAGCATATTTCTGCCCCAACAGGTGCCTTACATGGTCCAGCTGCTGGCCTACTTCCAGTCGGAGCAGAAGATCTTCCTGCTGCTGCGGCAGGCGGAGGGTGGCAGGCTGTACGATTACCTGCAGAGCTACACGCCCACGGGCAGCAAGTCTGTCAATTACGGGGAGCTGTTTCCCGCGGATCAGGAGCAGGATGAGGAGGAGAAGCCTCTCACCGCAGACAGCGAGGTCAGCGATCTGGTTCGCAGCTCCCAGCAGCTTCTAAAGTCCGTGGCAAACACACTGAGCAACCTGCAAGCGGGAGTTGTCACACCCAAGAAACAAAAAGCGGATTTAAATCGCATCAGAAGTAACCCAATCCCAGAGCAATGTCTGCGCCAGTGGGCCTGCGAGCTGGCCATCGCCATTCACTGTCTGCACGGCAAGGGCGTTATTCTGCGCGATCTGCACATGGCCAACATATTGCTGGGCGCCAAGGGGCAGCTGCTGCTGACGTATTTTTACCAGAACGAGGGTCTCAGTTCGGACGACAACTACGTGCACAAGGCGCTCAGTTTGGAGGCTCTGGCCAATCACTTTGTGGCGCCCGAGAGACCGCTGAGCTTCCGTTCGGACTGGTGGAGCTATGGCGTGGTGCTCTATCAGCTTCTGTTGGGTGTGGTAAGTAGAGAGTCCTAATTCAGAATTTTATTTGTATTTAATTTTTATACCCGTTACTCGTAGAGTAAAAGGGTATATTATATTCTGTCTGTCCGTCTGTCTGTCTGTATGAACGCTAAGATCTCGGAAACTACAAAAGCTATAAGATGGAGATTTCCAACACATATTCCTGGGCTTCCTACGCAGCGCCAGTTTATTTCAACCGAGTGCCACGCACCCTCTAAGGCCCACAATCGCCCACTAACGATTTTAAAATCTTTCCGAGAAGTATAAATACAATTTTGTTGTTATATTTATATCTATCGAAATGTAGAAGACATTTTTTAAATCGGATCATTCATTAAAAAGTTATGCGGAATCAAGAAAAGGTTATATATGGGCACTTCCAAAATGTCGCTCGGGACATTTGCACACCTTTAAAGTTGAAAAAAAATTGTAAAACAATGGATTATAATTTTAATTATGGGCTTTTCTTTTCACTCTTCCCAAGCTCTATTTTTGGTAAAAATCTTGATTTTGTACCACTTTTAGTTTTTAAGATATCGGTAAGAAACTGCCGTATTCGCTCGGGACAAAAATAGAAGTGGATTTCGGGGAAGTTCATACAACACCAGAAATTACCGAATTCTAATGGAATATTTGAATGCGATTTTTTTAGAATGTTGTTCAAACATGTCGCTGTGAAATGCTTTTGGTTTCACTCAAAAATTCTTTGCCGTTTTTTTTGTATGCAGTTTCAACCAAATTCGCTCGGGACATGTCGCTCGGGACATTTTTTCCGACTGTTTTGTAAAGCGGATTTCTTTACCTCTATCTCTCAATTGCTGGATGTTTTGCTTTTAACTTAATAGTTTAGTATGTGAATGAAGCATTCAGTACAGAAAACTCACATATTAGCATTCCTATAGGATAAATTAACAATAGAAGACAGGTCCAAAAAATAACAAAAAAATAGCCAAAAACTGATTTTTGCGTATATTGGTGGAGTTTGTCATAAAAATAATCAAACTATACTCCAAATTTGTAGTTAAGCTCAGTATCCAACTAATTAGAAACTAATATCGGGGCAAAATCATGTGGAAATATGTTTTATTCAAGTTTCAAGGTTTTTGGCTTGGTGGACTTATTTTTGGAAGTGCCCATATACATCTTCCTCACACTCCCTTTAGCTGAGTGACGGGTATTAGATAGTCGGGACACCAACCCGACTATAGCGTTCTCTCTTCTTTTTATTTTACATTATGTTTTTCCTTTCCAGCCCTACAAAGTTACTCATCCGGGGCAGCTAGAACTCTACGGTTGTGTCCAGTATCCCAGCGAGTCCCTGGAGATCTCCGATCATGCCAAGGACCTGCTGGAGCAACTGCTGCAGCTGACGCCGGAGCTTCGTTTGGACTACGATCAATTGCAGGCACATGCCTTCTTTAAGGGCATCGACTGGCAAGCGGTTCTGCAACAGGGAACTGTGTCCACGTGACTCAATTAGCCTTGATTTTGTTTGTTTTATTAATCTCGTACCTGAGGGTAATCTAATTTGTGATTATTTTCTTTGTCCTGAATTGGTATTTACTAGCTTACTTCCAAGGAATCTGATTGTATATTATTGTATATTATATTTATTTTGTTCCATTTTGTTATGAATCTTTTTTTATATCCAACCAAGGATACAAATATTTTTTATGTTATTCCCTCTTTAGTTTTTTCTTTGCCAGTCGATCAATTATTGGTACAAAATACGATTTATTTATACGTCTATTATATACATTTGCGAAATGTCCTAGAGTATTGCTTACAATTATAAATTTAAACTAGATTAAATGTAGGTATAACAACATTTTTAAACCGTTATACAAAATGGTATGGATAAATTAGTAAGTAATAACTTTGTAAAGCCAAATGAGCTAATATACAGTATAAAAAGCATTTTATTGTCTAACTACACAACAGTAAATGGGGTTTAATTTAGGCTTAAGGTAATAACTACAGCTAAATTTGTTGGGTGACAAAGGTTCCAGCTGGAAAGCCGCTCGTCACCCGTTTGGTAAGGCACATTTGGAATGCATTCTGGGGGTGGGGTTCTCAAATCAGAACCCCTGACCCTTGATTAACCTAGACTTAGACCGAACAAAAACCGTGTTAAGTTTTGGCAAGACTTGTTGATTCTGTTGTTGTTGCAACTTGCGTAATTAAACCTAAAAGGAACCTATGGCAATATGGAAATAGTGGCCAGAGACTGGGTGGGACTGGCCAGAAAAGATATCAAAAAATCAATAATATTATTCCTAAAAATTGTTCAGTTATCATTAGACAGAGGATTTTAGGTGAATTCTTTTTTTTTAAATACGATTTAAAGCCACATTTGGTTGGTTACAAATTTTAACTATTAAGTTATAACTTAATTGAGGTTTTTGTAAGCAATTTTTCACCAATTAAATTTGGCTTTAAATCATATTTAAAAAAACGATTTCACCAAAAATCATGATAACTTATCGTGATCTAATTTCCTTATTTTTTATAGGAATCTCTTTTTTGGAAACGGAATACACTTAAGTAAACTGCTGATGTGGAATTCTACTAATTTAGAGGCCTGTCTGCTCTTCTGGAGCCCCACTTTCAGTCGGAGAAACGCACTCGGTTTGAAATGCTGCACACTCCACGCCCACTCCCACTCCACTTTGTTCTAAAATGGCCGCCGGAAGCGGATGCTCGGCAGGCTGGGGGGCGTGGCCCAGCGTCGCTGATGTTGTTGCTGCTGTCGCCGGTGTGTGAGCATTTCTCTTAGTGCAAAAAAGGCGGCAGGACGTAGCTCTGAGCCTGCTGCTGCTGCTGCTGCTGGGCAGCCTCCTCGCTCTTGATCACAGTCTGCATGCCGCCGCTATCGTTGTCATCGCTGCTGGTGCCGCCACCGGAAGCAGCTCCTCCTCCCGCAGCCGTGGTCACGTAGTGCTGACCCTGGGTCTCCACCAGGTGACAGCTGGCTCCGGGACTCAGCTCCAAGCCGGCACCGCTTTGATGGCACTGCAGATGCACATATTTGGCCTCCTCGGCGCTCAGGTACTTGCCATTGAGTTGCTGTTGCTGCTGTTGGTGGGCATGGACGGTGACCAAAGTGCCGTCGGGCAGCTGCTGCTGCTGCTGTTGTGCCGTCTGCAGCTCCGCCGGCTGATAGCTTCCGCCATTGGCCACCGCCACCGCCTCCTCGCCATTTCCGGTCACCGTTCCTGAAGTGCCACCCATTTCCATGCGCGTGGGACTTCCGTACTCGTAGTGGCGCATCGGGAACAGCTGGCTTTCGTGGACATAGGCGCCATACTGGCCGGAATAGGTGCCATACGGACTGGCCGCCGGCGAGAGCAGGCTGAACTGGGGCGTCAGCTCGTAGGGCGTCTGGTAGCTCGTCCAGCTGTCCATGCTGCCCGGCGGCGTGACCGTCGTCGTCTGCGGATAGCTGGTGAACGGCGGGGCCAGGGTTCCGGGATTGAGGGTCGCCGTCGGCGGAGTGCTCGTCTTGATGTAGCCCGTCTTGCGCGGCGGCTCGTGCTTGCGCCACTTGGCCCGGCGGTTCTGGAACCACACCTGCACCCGAGATTCACTCAAATTCAGCTTGATGGCCAGCTCCTCGCGAGCAAAGACATCCGGATACGGAGCACGCTCGAAGGCACGCTCCAACTCCTCCAACTGGTAGGCAGTAAAGGTGGTTCTTTAATAAAACAGAGAAGATAAAATGGATTAGGAGAATGCATAATTGGGTTTATATTAGGAATCACATTTTTTGAAAACCCCTAAAAGTAAGATTCTAAATGAGGTGTATCTCGATGGTTGTGGAGAAATTGGTATTTAAGTTTTTAATTAAATGTATTTTAGAGGATGAGTAAAATATTTATAGTTATTGATAGGAACATTCTTGATAAAAATGATACGTTCTACAATTTTAAAGGCTTATTTTCTAATAAGAAGGTTTTTTCTACCTTAAGATTTCTTTATATATAGCAAAAAAAATTCCGATTTAATCACTAATAATGAAGAGGACATTTTTCCACCTCCGCTTCCGAGAGACATTAACAAATAATTAACCCCCCAGATTGCATGCGATTCCCCTGGGGGCTCGAAATTACACATACGCCCCGTGGTCAGCGTCATAAATAGCTAGAATTATCATCTTGTGCCACATAATTTCATTGATTTCCCGTCGTTAAACTAATTGGCCGTGGATAAACCATATGTGTGTGTCGCCTGCTTACCTCGTTTTCTTCTTTTTGATGCCATTGGGATCGCCCTTCTTCTTGCTGCTGTTCCCATCCTTTTTGGGGGCAGGAGCTGCCACGCCTCCCGCTGGGATTGCCGGAGCGCCGGAGGAAGTGGTCGAGTTGGCTGTGCCATTGGTCGTTCCTGCCACACCGTTGACCACCACCGACGAGGAACTCGTTGGCGGAGTAACGCCAGCCTCCATTTGTGAGCACATCTCATCGGGTTTCTTGAGTTTTCCACCCGCAGATCCTCCATTGATCATCACCGGCGAAGAGTCCTGCAGCAGACCATCGCTCCCGTGATCCAGATGATCCAAATGATGCGGACTGCCGCCGTAGAGATGCTGCAATTGCTGTTGCTGCTGCTGCGGTTCGTAGTGATCCTTGGGCGAGGAGGAGTACTCCAGTTTGCCATTGAGAGCATGATAATCCAGGATGCCCACCAGCTGCTGCTGCTGCTGCTGCGAGGATTGCTTGTGCAGCAGGATGCCATTGTGACTGGGCGGCGGGGTGGCCGTGTAGTGCTGATGGTGCTGGTGGTGTTGCTGCTGTTCCACCAACTTTTGCGGTGCACTGATGTACTCGTACTTCTGGCTCGGCGAGTAGCAGCCAATCTTGTTCACAAAATCCAGCTTGGTCACATAGTTGGGGGATCCTCCGGCGGCTGATCCTCCTCCGCCGCCTCCTCCATTCGGCAGGATGGTGTTGCAATCGGGCAGTCGCTGCTGCTGCTGCTGGCTGCACAATTCGTGGACACTGCCCAGCATCACGGGATGCATGGCAGTTGAGGTGGGCATTAGAGGTTTGGCGCCCAACGGATTGAGGGGACCGCCGCCAAACTCCCCGAAAATGGGATCATCGAAGCTATCGTGCTCCATTCTCTAGATCTAGATATTTATTTTATCCTTCGAAGCACAAGACACTGAGCACTACAAACACTAGCTAAACTTTTAGGTTAGAGCCTCTCTTAATCCATTGATCGTTTGTATTTAATTTGATTTAATTTGATACACTGGTAAAAATCATTTAATTGCATTTGGCAAAAACATTACTAGTTAGTATTTACTTAGTATTTATTCGCACTTGGTTTTTGGATAGTATAGCCTAACAGCCTGCTCACCGCTCGAGTCTTTGGCCTTAATTGACTCGGCTACTGGCGATGATTGTCCTTTTATACCAGCGCAGGCGGCAGCGCAGCAGCAGCGCCGGCAGCGACCAATCGCAGCCCTCCGACGGCGGCCATCATCGATGTGCAAGTGAGACGGCGCGACGGCCCGCTGTTCCATGCATTTCATGCTGGCGCGTGAGACTTTTCCGTTTCCCTCGCGCTTTGGGGTGTGGTCTCCCTCCCCTGCCGCTCTCCTCTTTTCCCCTCCCTTTTCCACCTACTGGGTCTAGCTGCCCGAGTCCAGTTTTTGGTTGCGAATGAGCACGGCTACCAGCAGATCGGCAGCTCTGGGATCGGTAAAAGCGGTCCTGGGAACGGGACTTTCACTTCTACTGGTTCTCAGATCAGATTTAAAGATCCTTGAGGGGTTGGGGAAGAAAAAAAGGATCAGACTAATATAATATCTAAAGTTTGCCATTCACTGTTGAGTCTTAAGATCACGATCTCATAATTTAACTTTGATCAGATCAGTTATAATATTTCATTATATCACAATCAAACTGCTTTTAAGTTTATTATACTTAAGCTTATGTTTGATTTAAGGCTAAAATATAGTTTAGTTAAACTTATTGTTAATAAAAGTAAACACGTCTGAAAGATTAATCATTTATATTTGTTAGGTGTAGACTTTAAAAATTCACTAAATAAAGTGTAAGGTCCAATACAAAAATATAGAGAAATTTTGGGATTTGCTTTTCGAAGCTTAGGTTACCGTTGAAATTTAAAGTAAATTCTCTTACACACAACATTTCTGCTGCACTCATAGAAATTTTTACCCTAAATCGCCCTAAAAAACTGACTTTTCGCCCGTGGATTTAGAAAATCGCCCATAAATCGTATCCGCTGGCGATTCGCCCGTGTATTTAGAAAAATTTTCTAAAAAATCCCGATGGAAATTTGATTTAATTTAGGGTGATTTTTCTTGAAATAAGAAATATTTTCCTGTTTTTAGGGTGATTTGCCCTAATTTTAAGGTGTATTTTTCTAAAATTAAGGGCGAATTTTCTGTTTTTATAGGCAAATGCCCTAAAAAATTAGACAAATTAAAAAAAATCGTGTTTGAGCATGCTTAACAGAATTTGGGAAGCATGTTTTTTTTTAATCGTCTATATTCTGGGAACTGGGACTGCTTTAATTAAACAACTCCGGCGGAGGACACCGTTTCATATTATTGTATTGGTGTGTAGCTTATATGGGAGCCGCGTTAAGAGGGGGGCCCGATCTATACAGCACAGCCGTTAGAACTGAAAAATCATGTTTGTAAATGAATTAGGGAAATAAATATGAGGAGAAAAAACAACTTACTTTTTTTGGTCATTGCGAGAATCGAACCCACGACCTCTCGGTTTAGAGTCTAACGTCCTACCGCTGCACCACAGACCCATCGCGCAAGACGACGAACAAACTCTGCACACATCTTATTTTCTTGAGGTCTACGTTATAATATGACTAAAGGCAACTAAACCGTATATTTTTTTCCTGACGAATGTGACAATTAGTCCCGTTTTCTTGCCCGCAAACACAAAGTATGCTTTTAACTCAGAACTCCCATACGTTTTTAAGGTTTAAAGACTACTTTAATTTAAAATTCGGACGAAAAAATGTCCTCAGTATTATAATGTTTACAAAAAAAAAAAACATAAAAATCAAGTTGAATCACACAGGGTTCGAACCCACAACCGCACGACCTTAGTCCTCATATAGCAAAGTTGAAAGCGCAAGTGATTAGACCGCTGGGCTACCGAATTTCACACTTTTGGAGTGATTTTTAAGGCGAATCGCCCTTGTATTTAGAAAAATTTTAGAAAAAAAATTAGGGCAATTCGCCGTTGGATTTAGAAAAGGTCAAAACGAAGCAAATCGAAAAAAATCGCCCTAAATATTAGAAAAATAGAAAAATTAACCCTAAAAATATTTTTTTATGGTCACCTGCCTTGAATTTATGGCAAATTTGTCGTGAAAATAGAAAATTTTTCTCAGTTCAAAGGCGAAAAATTTTTTAGGGCGATTTTCTAAAATGTAGAAAATTATTTTTATGAGTGTGGTGTTTAAAAAAAGAATTCTGGACACCTTTTGAGAGTTTGTTTTATAAGCAAAACAATATGCAATTGCAGTTCAGGAATATCAAAAACATATAACTATTCTAACTTTAAAATAAAATTTGTATCATGGAAAAAAATTGAAATCACTATCCCAAATATGTATTTAAAATCCCAATTTAGAGGGTCCTTGCTGGCTTTACATTGTTACAGATCATTTCCGCTTTTAAGTTGAGTGTGCCCCCCTATTCCTTGACCACCTCATCGTGTATGGTCATCGCCATCCCTAACAATACACCTTCATCGTCACACATGTTGGACCAACAATTAACTTTTGACTCGCACCGAATGCAGAGGAATACCGATGGTTGAGCCCATGGCTATAGTTCCAATTGGACTTATGAGGGTGATGATTCGATCTGAAATTTCCACCCCTGTTTGGGATCGACTTGGCACGCTTGCGACCTTCGTCTTCCACTTCTGGCTGTTCCCACTCCCTTCTCGCCTTCTTCCCACAGCGCGTGTCACCCTCTGAAGGATTGGCATATCCATATTCCGTTCCACAGTTGCGTGTGACCTTTTGGCCAGATGCTGGTACTTCGATCGCGGCGAGGTGGGCACTTAGTCAGGGGCTAAGTTATGGCTCGTTTGGATAGATCTGAAGATTTCACGGGGCATTTGAATAGGGAGGGAAAAGGTTTGCAGAATCATGTGGGCCGTTCAAGTCAAAGAGGGTGAAAGTGATACATTTTTATGGAGCCTAAAATCAGGGAAGATCAGATCTTAAGAAAAGAAAAAGTTAAACTCTATTGTTCACAAAAGTTTTTAAGATTGATTTAATTTGTATTAAATCGCAAGTACATATATCAATTATAATTTATTATAATTAAAATTAAATAATTATTAATAGATTTTTTGAGACTACATATTTTTAAAGTAATAAAATAAATAAATTAAAAATCAGCAACTACTTTGATGGCTGCTAAATAAGTTGTAAAACTTCTTGAACAAAGTTAAAACTGTCTCCCAATCAAACGGAAAAGTTTAGACAACTAAACACCGACCCGCATTGATCGTGCCGAGTGAAAATAGCAAAGAAACTTCAGCTTCCCAGGAACCCACAAAGGATCGACAATTTTCCCATCGTAAACAGCGGCCGAAAGAAGAAAACCCATCGAATTCCGTACGGAAACTACATCAAAATCTCTTTCACACAAACAGAATCGGACAATTCGATACTTTTCGGCTTTGCAGGTTCCAAAATGCGGGCAAACGGAATCGAAGTCGAGGTCTCGGCCTCTGAGAATGCATTCGAATGGACGCGGGGCACGCGATCAGAGCCGAGAGATGAAAACAAATAAATACACCCCATACTGTGGGTACTGGGTCGCGACCCAGAATGGGAGGGATGGTCTCGTCTCTGAGGGCAAGGAGTCCCGGGCCTTGTTGCGTGTGAATAATCAGACAATATTTTGCATTAGCCAATGCGCCAATTATGTGGGCCTTGGGTTCGAGGATTCGAAAGGGGGAAAATCGAAAAGGAACAAGGACAACGTCAGGGTGAAAAATCAAGCATTGATGATAGCATCTTGAGTAAGATCAAAAGTTAATTACGATTGATCCTTGAACTTAAGGAGGTTACACCATTGGTATAGGTAATCAGAAGAATCAGAAATGAGGTATAAGATAAATGTGCAGACAGCCGATTCCACCTTAATTAACCCGAAAAAGAGTTGTTGAACTGCGGGTAAGTTTTCTTTGAACGTGGTTCATAATATTCATAATAAATCGGAATTTATATATTTTCTGAATGTATTCTTCACAAAGTTCTGTGGAATTCGAATTTTAGAAATACCGTTTTGCATTCAAAACCTATGATCAATTCAAAATTTAGTAGTGGAACCTGTAAAACAACTCCATGCTTATATTTATCAAGTTTCTTTACTATTCTTTAGATTGCTAGGAACAACATTGAGGAAAATACTTGGTACAGTTATCGCTGGCCGGCAAAGTGAGCGCCTAAGCTTTTGTTGAATATTTTTTCATATTTTTTCCATAACCATTAAGATACACACACTGGCAGACAGATAGACAGACAGATACACCGACTGAGGGGTAGACAGATACTCAAGCCCATCGCCACCATCATCATCATCATCGCATCCTCACTTGTCCCACCGAGATGACAGTCCATCCTCAGTAGCAATATCAACACAAACAACAGCGACACTTCGAAAAATTATACATTTTTAGATCCAATAGACATAATAATGATAATAATAAACAATAACTTACTGAAAAATTGTCCTAAATAAATGAAAACTTTGAAATATTTATTCGAATTTATTTTTAAACATCAGTAGAAGTTCCACCTAAATTCCGTCCAAAGATATAATATGAGGTCCCCACTTTTTTTCGGTGCAATAACATCACCGACATTCTCTCATCCTCCGTGACATTATCACATTGTATTACGATATCAGCGGAGACAGCGGCGACATTTTGTTGTGCCTTTCCACATATATCTACTATATGCGATGTGGCAACGATTCAGTGTGCAATACATGTTTCGCCCATTCCCATTCGGGTTTACTTGGTTCGGCGATTGTGATCAGTTCGCACAACGAAATTCCAATATGGCGGGCTCAAGTCCCGCTCACACGGACAAACGGACAAACGCGACTCAGAACAGAACACTCGTGTCAGAGTCCAGAGCACCGCTCACCCATACAGACGCCTCCAATTAAGCTTCGTTAAGATCAATTTAAATCCCGCATAAAATATCAAATAGTTTTTGTATTTTAGTTCCACTTCTGACTCGGCTGTCGCTATTCGTTCTCGCTCTCAGCGTTCAGTAGAATACAAAAAAAAAAAGAATGAAAGAAGGA